TGGGGGAAAAAAATAAATAAATAAAATTATAAAAAAAAATAATAAAGTTTACTTTTATAAACCAGTCCTCAGAAGCCCTACCAAAGCTCCAAAGAGAACAAACCCAAATTTCAAGACCTGAGAAGTTAAGGAATCCCTGGAACCTGGCACCCACACACTATGAAATTTGGTGTTATAATACCGTGTCGAGGAGGAAGTGTGAGAAGGATGAATCTACCTTGGTCTATGTGGTTCAACTTTTATCAGAGTCATGGAACTTGTTGAAAATCTGATGAAAATTAAGGACTCTCCTCCCAGAAAAAGTACACATACACATTTATATTCAGTTTCAGGAGTTCCACCTATGGACTCCTTGTTAAGAATCTCCCTTTAAATACAGCTCTACATCAACAGAACACTGATTTTTAACTATAAATGTCTAAATTATATTAAAAATATAATCATAAATAATGACCCAGTTCCAGGTCTAGAACTTTCATATAATGGTAGTTTACTAAAAATGATTTTAAAAGTTTCCATTTCTTACCAACCTGAATGAGTACGCATATGTCTAGTTAGATGAGTCTTCTGAGAACTTGAGTAAGGACAAAGTTCACATTTATATGGGCGTTCTCCTGCAAAAATATGATTAGAGTTTAAATATGATAAAATAAGGCAAATACAATCCTTACTAACAATATTACAATATTCAGTACCGAGCATTTCTTAACAAGGATTTTTTTTCCTATTCCTGGCAAAATGGTCAATTTATACCATGTATTAGAAGTATAAATGATTTAATTCAGAATTCACATAACTACATTATTTCAGCTTTGCTGATGAAAAATATAATTGGCTTTTTTTTTTTTTTGGTGAGGAAGATCAGCCCTGAGTTAACATCCATGCCCATCTTCCTCCACTTTATATGGGACGCCACCACAGCATGGCCTGACAAGCGGTGCATCAGTGTGCTCGCGGGATCCGAACCCGGGCCACCAGCAGCAAGGTGCGAGCACTTAACCGCTACGCCACGGGGCAAGCCCCTATCATTGGCTTTCTGAATTCTCATAGCCCTTTTAATGTTCACGGTAATGTTACATGTTATTACATTAAATATTGAGAACCGAGAAATGCTCCTAATTCTTTAATTAGAATTATCCTTTAAAAAAAACTACCCAAATTTTCTGATGCTATGTTTTGGGTAATTTTTTTTAATCCTTGTAAATGATAAATCTACCATTTGAGGGGGCCGGCCCCATGGCTTAGCGGTTAAGTGCACGCGCACTGCTACTGGCGGCCCGGGTTCAGATCCCGGGCCCGCACCGACGCACCGCTTCTCCGACCATGCTGAGGCTGCGTCCCACATACAGCAACTAGAAGGATGTGCACCTATGACATACAGCTATCTACTGGGGCTTCGGGGAAGAAAAAAAGGAGGAGGATTAGCAATAGATGTTAGCTTAGGGCCAGTCTTCCTCAGCACAAAGAGGAGGATTGGCATGGATGTTAGCTCAGGGCTGATCTTCCTCAAAATAAATAACTTCCTCAAAATAAATAAATAAATAAAAATAAATAAATCTACCACTTGAAATTGTCAGCTAAAATCAACAATGCTTTTGAGTGAGGATGTTGTTGTTGTTTTTATTTTTTTGTGAGGAAGATCAGTCCTGAGCTAACATCCATGCCAATCCTCCTCTTTTTTTGCTGAGGAAGACTGGTCCTGGGCTAACATTCATGCCCATCTTCCTCCACTTTATATGGGACTCGGCCTCAGCATGGCCTGACAAGCGGTGCGTTGGTGTGCGCCTGGGATCTGAGCCTGGGCCGCCAGCAGCAGAGCGCGCACACTTAACGGCTACACCACGGGGCAGGCCCCAGGATGTTGCTGTTTTAAGCTATCAATTTCAAGCGGTAGAAATAACTTTTATGATCTATGTCAATGTTAAAACAAAGCATACTCATAAAGCCATAGGGACTGAGAGCAACTGAAGAGGAGAGGACAATGATTTAGTACTAAAGAATTTAAGACTCAAAGGCAGGAAATGTGTATTCTTTTTGGACGTGGGTTGTCAACGACAAAAGAGACTGAAAAAAAAAACTTGACAACTTGTTTTTCATCTAGTCTTTGGCTACAAGATAATTATGACCTTGGGCAAGTTTCCTCATCTACAAAAGTAACAGTATCTTCACTTCCTAGAATTGTGAGAATTTAAATTAAAGATAATACATGCAGAGCATTTAACGCTGTGCCTGGCACATAATCAAGCCCTCAATAAATATCAGTTTTTATTTTGTCTATCCAAGAAGATACAAGATACGGTCACAGATGTCTAATAACATGGGACAAGGAAAAGAAAAGACAGAATGAAAAAAAGAAAAAGAATATGGTAATGACTGGAAAATGTGTTCCTAGTAACTGTTCAGCTTTAATTAGCTGGTAGCTATAGATTAGCTACAAACAGCTCATAGCAATAGAATGTCTACTTTGACCTGGAAGAATTTTAATATAGTTTAAAAAATGTTAAATTTATTTCTGTAAAGATACACAAATGGCAATAGGCACGTGAAAAGATGCACAATATCATTAGCCATGAGGCAAGCAAATAAAAACCACAATGAGATGAATACTTCACAACCACCAGGATGCCTATAATCAAAATGACAGATATTAACGAGTATTGGTTAGGTTGTGAAGAAATTGACAAGTATTGATTAGGATGTGGAAAAATCGGAACCCTCATACACTGCTGGGAGGATTGTAAAATTAAATAGTGCAGCAACTCGTGGAAAACAGTTCCTCAAATAATTAAGCATAGTTATCACACATCCTAGCAATTCCACTCCTAGGTATACACCTGAGGAAAAAAAAAAAAAAATGTCCACACAAAAACTTGTACATGAAATGTTCATAGCAGTATTATTCGTAATAGCCAAAAAGTGGAAACAATCCAAATATCCATTAACTGATGAATGGATAAACAAAATGTTGTATATCCACACAAGACAGTATTATTTGGCAATAAAAGGAAAACAAGTATTGTACATACAACATGGATGAACCTTGAAAACATTATGCTAAGTGAAAGAAGGTAGTCACAAAGGACCACATGTATGAATCCATTTATACGAAATGTCCAGAACAGGCCAATCCATAGTGACTTGAATGGTATGTAAACTGTATCTCAATTAAGCAGTTATAAAAAAAAGTTAATGGAAAAAAAGTTAAATATCACTATAGATTAACATGAAGGACTGATGATGGGCAATTTACTTTTAAATCCTTTATAACAGAATAGGTTGCTTCTATCTATGCAGTTCTACAATATAGGCATAAACACTCTAGAAAAATTAGGGATTTTTCAGTCACATATACAGGCAAAAATGTCCTCTTTTAAAGCATAGAATTTGTGAACTGGTTAAAAATTAAAACCACAAAATTAAAATTCTTTTGATTCAAGACTCAAATGAAAACACTCCTCAGCCACCACCATAATAATTACCATAAAAAGAGAGTCATATATGACCTTGGGCATATCACTTCGGGCTTTCAAGTCTGAAGTTTTCCTCAGTAAACATGGGCTATTATCACTTACTCTGTTTCCTCAACGAATTGTTCTAAAGGCATAGAAGAGAAGAAAGCACCTAACATTGGGCACTCAATAAAAGAACAGAAGAAACCCATTAAATGAAACTAGGCTACCTCAAGGAGAAATGAGAAATAAGTGATTCCCTCAGACTATCATTTTCTCATCTCTACTCCTAAACACTAGATGAATTTATTTTTCCATAAATACAATTTTCATAACCATGCATTTAACACCAGAGATATTCTCAGAATTCACATAATCAAAATATTATCCCTCAATTTATACACCACCAAATTGTTTTAAAAATGTTTTTTAAAAAATCACAAATAAGGTAATACTAGGGGGAAAAGTCTTTTAAAAAAGCATTAATGGTTTAACACTAAAATGTGAAATGAGATATGTACAACCAATGTGAGCTATGCAAATCATAACCTTATTGTGGAAATACCAATCTTAATGTGGAGAAAAACTTAAGTACTGGATAGTATAGTTCATGATATAAAATATATCCATTAAAAATTAGTCATCTAGACTATAACTAGATGAAAATAAACGACTATAACAAAAAAAAATTAAGACACAGCAAAAGTAGAGTTTCTGTTTTAAAAAAAATCCTTTACATAAAAAATTGGAAATACACATCAAAACTGGAATGTTTCCAGTTCTCTCCACTTTCCTTTTTTTCTTCCTTCTAAAAATGTTCTTAAATCGACAATTTTGATTTATTGTTGAAAACATTTTTAGCTTTTTGGGAAAATTTTTAAATTGTTCAGTGACTCAATAGTTCTGAAGTTATCAAAATAGCAGTGGGAAAAAAAATCAAAATTTAATAAGACAAAGGCACTGGGGTGCTGGTAATATTCTCTATGTTCACCTGCACAGCGGTTATGAGTATATATATATTTGTAAAACTTCATGAAGGTATACACATAAAGTCATAGTTATTACCTGAAAGCTCTATTACATATGTCATAGTTACTACCTGAAAGCTCTATTACAGCCAATTCTAAATTAGGCCCCCAGGTTGTCACAAAACTGTTAAATGAATATGAAGCACTTACGGCTGAAGTATATATGGTATCTGGGATTTGTTTTAAGATATTGTAGGTGAGGTTAGTTTAATCTAACAGTTTGTTTAATTCAAACTGTTAAGTGACTCACTGGGTAGGATTTCCAAGTAACTTTCACTTCCTATGATATGTATTTTTGAAATGTTTGAACTTCTTTACTTTTGAAATAAAATAAAATGTCTCCATGTTCCAAAGCATGGAGACAACCAATCACAGGTTACAATAAACTCCAAAGGGACAACAAATTCTTTTACTTAACTAGATTTTAAGGTTTTAAATACAGGAGCCATCTGCTGGGGCTTAGAAATCTTACTACAGACGTCTTTCTTGTAATGGAATTTCACCTGCAAGTTTTATTAAGTCTACCAGTTAAGCAAAGCAATTATCAATTTCCCTCCCCACTATGTCCCACTCTACTGTGGGGTTCAGTTCCGCAGAGTGAAAACTGCAAAAAAGACCAGATGCAAACAGCATCCCACAGCCCCTTTTCACTTGTGATCCAAACGCTACAGTACTCGATATTCCATCCATTTTATTCAGAATAGTAATGAGTCCTCAAAGGTACCTATTCTTACCAGGAAAATGTAACATGAAAGTGACAATGAAGTACCAATACTTACAAACATTTCTTTGCAAAAAGGAGACCACTTAACCACAAAGACTTGAAAGTCGATTTAAAAGTGAATAGTTAAGGGGCTTTGGGGAGAAATGGGGAACAACCACTAACAAATAGGGGTCTCTCTTCAGGGTGAAGATGTCCTAAAATTGATTGTGGTGATATGATGGTTGCACAATGCTGTGAACACACTAAAACCAATGAATTGTAACTTTAAATGGATAAATTGTGTGGTTTTGGAATATATCTCAATAAAGACGTTATTTAAAAAAACGAATTGCCAAAAAAATAAATAAATCGCCAAATGTGACAAAATATTGATAACTGTTGAGTATAGGTGATGGGTACATGTTGGTGCAGTGCAGCATTCTCTTTACTTCTGAGATGTTTGAAATTTTTCATATTTTTAAGATTGTTCCATTTTTTTGAGTGAGTGCACTTATAAATTAGACAGGTCCTCTTACCTGTATGAGTTCGAACATGCTGAATATTAGTGTTTTTTGTCTGAAAAACAGTTGCATTTTCCACAAGTGTCTGCTTTCTTAGGAATATGGTTTCAAGTGTGGTAATCCCACCAATCTCTTAAAAACTAACCTCTCACATTTCTATGTTTTGGGGACAAGTGAAGTTGTTCCATTTAGGAACTCAATAACACCAGTTAATGTTTTAAAAGTTTGAGGCTTCTGTTAATTGGAGCTATGCAAGGGTTAATCACTGGATTTTCCTTTTTGTGTAAGCCCTCAATTCCTTTGGGAAACTATACTGCATCTTAAGATGTAGTCACTACCAACTAAATACGTCTTCGAAAAAAAGTAGTCTAATTTAGCTAAATGGTCTATCCTAAGTTATTACAATAGGTATTTTACGAAGAACACTGATAAGATTCCTCTTGGCTATTCTTCCAAATAACACTCAGTGCTTTACACATGTTCCTTCACTTAATTCTCCAATCCTATATATTATTACCCCCCTGGAGAAACTTAGGCACAAAGAGGTTAAATAACTCATCCAAGGTCACAAAGACAGCAAATAATGGAACCAGGATTCGAACTGAATCCCTTTCTTTAGCACTATTTTAACTACTCGCTCAATTAACTACCAGAAGTGAGCTGAACTTTTGGACTGCAAAGGTCCTCTTACCTGTATGAGTTCGAACATGCTGAACATAATTGTTTTTCCTGTCTGAAAAATAGTTGCATTTTCCACATGTGTATACTTTCCTTGGAAAATGGTTTCTCAAGTGTTTTCTCCAGTGATATTCACTGACTGTGGTGTATGTGCAAATGATGCACTTGTAGACTCGCTCATTATCCCCAGCCCTGGTGTGGTGCTTCAGGTGAGCAGTATAGTGATCATATCGATTGGTATTGTAGCCACAGCGGTCACAGCGAATGGGGCCCTTGGAGAAATCTCCCTCTTCCGCAGTGGAAGAGCCAGATTCCCTGGCTTTCGCTTGCTTCTCTGCACTTTCTTCCACAAAAAATTTCTTGGCACTATGAACTCTGATGTGATGCACAAACTGTTCTTCAGATTCTGCTTCATACTGGCATGGCTTACAGCGAAAGGGTTTGGTCTTCAAGTTCTTGCACTTGTCCTCTGCTCCAGGTGTTTCGGGAGGAAGATCTTTATTTGAACTATAAATCTCTGGGGCAGCTGATACCTCAAACACAGGCTGTGGTTCTACAACACTGAGTTCCAAACTTTCCAGTTCCATGTTTTCCAGTCCATTGGGTTCACCTTTTATTTCAGGAGACTCCTCAAGTCCTTCTCCATCACTATCTGAAAAGTTGTTATCCCCAACAGGCATCAGTTCTGCCATCTGCCTTTCTTCGCCAACCAGGTAATCACAGCAGCTGCCATTTACTTCCCCAGTTAAAGCCACATTTGCCAACATGATAAGCTGAGGCGCAGCCAGTTCAGCTTTGGAGAGGTCATGCAAATCATACATGTCGTTAGGCAAGGCCATGCCCATGTTGCTACTGCCAGTGAACAGCCCTGCTCCTCCAGAAGACTGCCCCATCACCTGGGTGGCCATAACTGTATTCTGAATTAAAAACAAAACAAAAAACACAAAAGCACTAGTTTAGACACAACTTTTACTAGTCTAAAACCAAAACATCACTGTAATTCTTCATAACTTAAAAAAAAAAACACATTTTTCAATATAATCTTTGAACTCATGAGCTTCATTAACTACTAAAAATAAGCCTTTCAAATATTTTTTTAATTCTGAATTCTCTTTACTGTAGTCACCAAAAAAATTTCCATTACCTCTACAAAAAATTCTATCAATTGTTTGACATAATTCATCCATCAACTAGGTCTACCACTGGCATCCCTTCCCTCAAGTATTTTTTTTTTTACCAGAAAAATTAAAAGTAAGTAACCTACATTTTTAATGTTAATTAAAATTACTTTTTAAATTCAATACACGAATAGTAAACTGCTGTCCTCCCAAGTGCCCCCTTCAAGAGTTTACTGGTCTGAATCAGAAAGGGGAGAAACCCAAAAGCCACACTGTGCATTTATTAAGTACAAAATATCTGGAAAGTAGATGCCTATAAGAATTGGTCAACTGAAGTGAATTTCATATGAACTCAACTAACTCCAGAAGGATAACCTAGTATAAAAAAGTACTACTTAATTTCTTATTTTTTCGATGACTCGGCAAGTTAAAAGGAAAAAAAAATTCAAAACCCTTTTCTGTGAAAAAGGAAGTTTAGTGTATTCAAAACTTCACAAATGAAAATAAAGAATCTTTCAAACCTCCTAATAAAATAATTGTACAACTCAACTCGATAATCAGCAACATTCTTGCATTGTGCTTGACTTGGCCTACTTGCCTAGTGGAAGCCATTACAAGAGCACCTTCTTGAAAACATGTTGGGCTTTTAAAATCGTCTTAACCACGTTACTTTCCAATCTAAAGTTGCTATTCTCAACTTAGGTGTTCTCTTGCAAATTAGAAAAAGCAAAATAAGTGGCAAGTACTAAAAAAATAAAACTAAACCCAAAATATAAAAAGTAATCTGTTTCACCCAAGTGCATAAACACAAACGGGTTGAGTTATATGTACCAACAAAAGTCGGAATCAAATGCCATCACAGAAAACAAACTGAGGGCAAAAGCTATCCCAGGGCTTAACAGTCCAGGCTACTCGGTATCTTACCCAAACATCGTCTTTTCTAATACCTCTCAAGCCCTAACTACCATCCCTAAAGAAATTTTAACGTTTGTCCGGAAGACCGTCCCAGCACAGCCCGAAAGCCCAACGTGTTGCACGAATTCCTATGTGCTGCTGCCACCAGCGCCTGCCTCGGCGGCGGCATTCCTGACTGAAATAGGCATTCGGCCATTTTCTCAAAATACCAAACACAAAGCAGCTCTTTGCAAACTCGGGCGCTCTCGCTTCCTCTCCGCTCGGCCCGCTCACTACACACATTTACACACCAACTCGCGGGAGCTGCCCCCACACTCGTCCTGAAGCTTTTCCTGTGCTCTCCAACACTAAAAAAGGGGAGGTGGGCAAACTCGGGGCGTCGTGGGGCCGGACCGAGTCTTCCCGAGTCCAGACTGTCCCCTCCCCGGCCCGCGGGCCCGAGTCTGGGAAAAGGGAAGAAAGTTACCGCGTTGCGGGTCCCGGCCCCTCTCGCCGCCTCCGGGCTCGCCCTCCGCAGAGGCCCGGGGCGGCTCCGCGGGCACCCTCCGCAGGCGTCG